TTTTTTTTTCATTTACCCTTTATTTATACAGGTAGTCTCATTGAGCCACGAGAACTCATTTTCAAGAGAGACCTGTTTAGGTAGCAGATGGGGGGTTAAGGGCCTTGCTCATGGGCCCAGAGTGGGGTGAATGAGGGTGGGGGCAAGTGTGGGTGCTACACCTACCCCACCCACAATTTTTTTATGTTGTCGGGGCCGGGGCATGAACCGGCGATCTTCCGATCACAGGCCCACCTCTCTAGCCTCTGCGCCATCACTCCCCATTAAATTATACAACATCAATATGTTGGATAATTTAATTATCCTATAATAATTTAATTACCCTATAATCAGCTCATTAAATAAATAAGCCACACAAGAAGGAGAAGATATTTTCTTAACCCAGGATTTAATCTTGCAAGATGGAGCAGCGTTGAAACAAAACCAGCATCAAGATGTTTACACGTCGCGTTGTCTCCACGTCTGCTCACAGGCAGTATGAGGTGTCTTTTTGTAATGGTTATCAGACAGAGGTGAGGTCAGACAGCTCTGCTTTCCAGCTTCAGCCCTTGATATCAGTGGAAGGCTCCGTGCTTCTGCAGCTCCACTTTGCAAAGACAAAACAACTCTTCACACACACACAGGGTTATACAAGTTATATAACATTTGACATTAACAAGTGAAAAACATCTATGACCTTTATAGCTCCAACATTTTGCACACACATATATAAACCCCCCCCCTCGCCCCCCCCCCCCCCACACACACACACATGGGGGAGTGGTGGCGCAGAGGTTAGAGAAGGTGAACCTGTGATCAAAAGGTCGCCGGTTCAACTCCTTGGACCGACAACATCAAAATGTGGGTGGGAAAGGCGAAGCACCCGCACCTGCCTCCACCATCATCTGCCCCATACTGGGCCCTTGAGCAAGGTCCTTAACCCCCACCATCTGCTCCCCCAGGCACCCTACATGACAACCCTCTGCTCCACACAGAGGGCTGTGGTAGCTCGGTGGTCTGTGGTTGAGTCAGGAAGGGCGTCCGGCGTAAAAACAATCGCCAAGTCTTCGTACGAGTTTGTTTGTTGTGGCGACTCCTGAGGAAGGGAGCAGCCGAAAGAAAAAAAAAATATTTCAATCATGATACTGTTACATTCTTAGCACTAAAATACTTTACTTTAATTTTTTTATCTATATTTTCCACCTCCACAAGATGCTTTCATGTTCCTTCCACCCATGTTGACGTGACACTCTCAGACCAGGTAAAGGTGTCGGGTGTCTTTCACCAGTATATGTCAGAGTGGTCCAGAATTAAGTTCAGAGTATATAGTACTAATACAAATTTATAAGTTGCTGAGCATAATGACATTCTGATTCAATCATATTTAATTTGTATTTGTTTATTTTATCCAAATAGCCAAATAAAAATCACTGTTACACAAATTAAACTTATTAAAAAATAAAGCTTTATATAGCAACCTGCTTCCTGCTCACCTCAGTTTGTGTCCAACGACACGTCGTTTCATCACATTCTTATTATGCATTTCACAAATCACGATCATGTGATCAATTTAAAATAATGACCAGAAATTTTTGTTTCTTTAAATGATCGGCAAATAACAGAAAATAAATTTCACAAACTTCATTGATATTCATAAAATTCATTTGGAACAAACACAGAACCCTGATGGATTCCTCACTTAATCTCTTCAGCATCAAATCCCAAACCGTTTCTAGTTTTTAACTTTTTTTTTTTTTTTAGCTTTGAGTTGGACGGTTCTTTTCCTCGTTTGCCATAATGATGTTGTATCCACGAAGATTAAAACAAGAGAAAAATCTCATTAACGTCAGACATATGCATGAACCCATGATTCCTACTACATCATATGGTATAAATGTGTAAATATGGTATGGTATAAAGTTTATTCATTTTAAAAAGTACAAAACAATTCCATAACAATATAAAAAATATACAAGAGATTTAAAATGAAAGGCAGCAGAAGAAGAAAAAATCTTATTATATCTGCCCCTTTTTTCACACAATTAATTCAATCACAATAATTTTCAAGTAACAGAACAAAATGAATAACTCTTTTTAATTTTTCTAATTCTAATACAAAAAACTGTCTCTTAATTTTTCTAATTCTAATACAAAAAACACTAAGCTACTTTATATATATATTTTTTAACAATTCAGCTTTGATATTTTTCTTAAATGTACACATTGACTTGGCATTTTTCACATCACTCTCTAGACCATTCCACAATCCAACTCCCTTCAGAGTAGTTCTGAATTGTGGTTCGACAAATATCTCTATCCGCTTAAGATTATAACAACTTTGTCTTTTAACAAAATTTCTTTGGATATTTAATGGTAATGTGTTATTTTGAGCCCTATACATAACTGATAAAATACTATAATCTACCAAATCATGGAACTTCAATAACTTCAGTAGATAAAATAATGTGCTTGATGGGTGACTGTAATGCTTTCTGGTGATAATTCTTACAGCTCTTTTCTGTAAAATAAAAATAGGTTTTGTAAATGTTTTACACGCTTTCCCCCAAACATCAATGCAATAGATTAAATGTGGAACAATGATTGTGTTATACAACATGTACAGAGCTTTATCATTTAATAATTCCCTGACTTTGTATAGTACTGCAATAGATGTAGATATTTTTGTTCTTACAGAATTGATGTGATTTTTCCATGTTAGCTGTTCATCAATGATTACACCCAAAAATTTAATCTCATTAACTTTACAAATCTCAACACCCTCAATTCTAAATGGATCGTCAACAGTTCTCTTTTTGTTACTAAATATCATGTAATTAGTTTTATCTAAATTTAATGATAATTTATTAAGTTTAAACCAAGTTTGTATTTTATCAAATTCTGTCTTCATCAATTCCAACATCCGTTTTACATCTTTACCCAAACAAAAAAATGTGGTGTCATCTGCAAAAAGGACACATTTGAGGAGTCCTGATACATTCACTAAGTCATTCACATATAAAATAAATAACTTTGTTCCAAGTACAGAGCCTTGAGGAACTTCACACGTGATATTGCAGAGGTCAGATCTTACACCATTTATTTGTACAAACTGTTTCCTATCTTTCAAATAGCTAGATACCCAGTGTAATGCTGGTCCTCTTATACCATATTCCAAGGAGAATAGTGTGGTCAGTATATCAAATGCTTTTTTTTAAATCAACAAAAATACTAACACAATACTGTTTTTGATCGACAGCAGTAGTTATTTGTTCTATTAATTCCATGAGAGCCAAATATCAGACATTGAACAGATTGTTGGCACTTCATTTTGATTTTAACTCCCTGGATTAAGTGAATATTTTAATCTACTGTAAATGTAACATTTTGGTGTATTTACATTAAGAAATATTTTTGTTAAATTTTAAACTCTGTGCACTTCAGAAAATGACAAACCCCTCTTTTCATTATAGCCGAATAATTCTGCCTCATGAATTAAAAAAAAAAGCAAATCATTTTGTTGGATTTGTTGCCAGTTACCTACTACCTCCAGGTTTTTTAATTTATTTTTTTTTATCTCTTTGATCTGTCTTTAAATATTAAACTAACCCACATTATTCTAAAGGTAACCAAATAAGGCTTTTTTTTCTCGCAGTACTTTATTTCTGGTTATATGAACCCTCCTACAACCAGCAGAATGGAGGAAGAGTCCAAATGACTAACACAAAAGTCAATTAGTTTTCTAATAAACAGCATTAGTTGGATCTGTTGCAGGCACAGATTAACAGGTTATAAATCAGTGCATTCACTCTCAGAAACACCTGCAGGGGACAGCGCAGGATTATGCTGCACAGAGCGCATCCTCATATGTTGGTACAGCAGGATGGGATGGCTAGATACTCCACTTATAGAGTGCACGTACATGTGCACGCACTCAAGTCAGCAGTATGTGTATTGTTGGTCCCTGCCGACTTTCTGATTGTGTGTGCTGCCTCTGCCTCTGCAGCACACACACCAAACACGGCAGAGACTGCAGTGACGTGAGGAGGAGGAAGAAGAAGACGGGAGGCTGCACTTATTATAATTCAACGTCAGACCAAGTTGGATAAACGCCCTCTTTTCCTCCCCCTCCTCCCTCTTTCTCTCTCTCTGGCCCAATTCAATGGTCTTCATCCTCAGTAAGAAGATCTGCTCCCCCTCTCTCCTCCTCCTCCTCCTCCCTCTCCACCTCCATCTTTGAGATAAAACACTGGCTTTAGATTTCCAGCAGCAGCAGCAGCTGCAGTTGCGCTGGCACACACTCACCGTGGGCGCACAGAGTGAGGGAGAGAAACTGAGGGACGCGCAGCATCCTGTGGATTTTTTTTAAATTTTTTTTGGTCTTTTTTCCTTTTTTGCATTCAAGCCTCTGTATTTCTACATGCTTCTCCTCGCTTTGCCTCACTCACACACAGACCAGGAGTTGATTTCACTTTCCGGAGGAGAAACAAAATGTGGAATCGCACAGTTGCAGCAGTCTTTGTTATTTTTAATTTGTGTGGGGAGTCATTGGCAGGGTTTCCAAACCAAATCAACATTGGTAAGTTCAAAGCTGCACGTATAGGGCATGTCTTGTGAATTAAGAAAGTTCTTTTTCTTCCCTCCTTGTGTTTTTGTCTTCCTCTAAAATATTGCTAATTTACTTAAATAACCACAAGGCTTGGAGGATTTTATGTCTTTGAAGGCAGTTTGGTCAAAATATACTTGTTTAACTGTTTCCACATTTTGTGGCTAATATAAAATACATTTGTGCAGTTTTAAATCATGTTTTTAGAGTTGTAATTCAAGGTAGAGTAATATGGCAGTGCATGTTGGGTTTGGACTAATTAGAGCTCGGTTATGTGACATTTTCTTCCATCCTGTAGGTGGACTGTTCATGCGCTCCACAGTGCAGGAGCACAGCGCCTTCAGGTTTGCAGTCCAGCTGTACAACACCAACCAAAATGTGACAGAAAAACCCTTCCACCTCAACTACAACGTTGACAACTTGGAGTCCTCAAACAGTTTCTCCGTCACACATGCCTGTGAGTCGATGCCGTCTAGTTTTATGTTGCACAGACATAATTCGTTTGGCGTGTCTTTAAATCGTAGCCCACAGTGATGCAAAAGGGATGCAAGTTCTGGGCTGCACTGCAGATTATATAAAGCTTCCATTTGTCTCAATAGCTTCCAAAACACAGATGGTAATAAGATGAAACTGCTGTTTAAATGAAATGGATCATCCTAAAAAACAAAACCCACACTCCTGCCAAGAGCCTGGCTTCATTCTTTAACTCCTCACTCATGGCATCCAAAACCCTCCAGCTGGATGATAGAACCTGACGGTTAATTAGCCAGAACAGAGGAATTCAGTAATTTTGCAGAAGCTGAGCATCACTTAAATGACTACGTTTGGAAAAAATAATTTGTTGTAGTTGCTATTACATCTCACTCTAGTGGCTACTTTAAAATAAATGATGTCATTTAACAGTGAGTGTGAGAGTTAATGTCACTCAAATGGAACAACTGTCGTGAAAATGGAAAAATTCAGATGAATTTTTGACGAGTGCAGACGCAGCTACGGCCCAAAATCCAATATTACAAACCGTATAAGAAGTGTAATGAAAAACGAGATTAAAAGAGATGTTATAGCTGCTAGTGGCTTTTTATGATCACCCACACACCTGTGTCTTACACTTCTAGAGAGGTAGAAAGAAACACCGACTAAAAAGTAAGCCTCAAACAGTTGCTGTGTGAAAAGTTGAAGCGTTGAGATTTTTGAGCTGTGGGCCTCTGATGGTCACACATGGTTGTTTTTGTGTTTTCACAGCATTATAATACAGTTATATAGGAGATATGGCAAACTAAAAAGATTTCTAACTTCCTTAAAGAAAAAGTTTTAAACTAAAAACCACCTGAAGTTTTTGGAAGCTTAGTTGCGCTCTCGTTGCACCCTGCTTAGATTTTAGAGAAAACTTTGTCTTAGAGCAGTGAGGGACAAAGAAATGTGCAAAATGAAGACAAAAATCCAATGATAAAAAAAAAAGTTGTTGGATTAGAAAGAGTTTGCAAAAAAATTAACAGTTCTAAAGTTAGTGTGACTTCTACTTTCAGTTGAATGAAAGAAATTCATCCATCCATCCATCCATTATCTTTACCCGTTTATTCCAGTTTGGGTCACGGGGGTCGCTGGTGCCCATGTCCAGCAATCACTGTGCGAGGGGCGGGGTACACCCTGGACAGGTCGCAAGTCCATCACAGGGACACATAGAGACAAACGAGACAAACAACCATTCACTCTCTCACTCACACCTAGGGACAATTTAGAGTTACCAATCAGCCTAACATGCATGTTTTTGGTCTGTGGGAAGAAACCGGAGTACCCGGAGGAAACCCACGCATGCACGGAGAGAACATGCAAACTCTACCCAGAAAGGCCCCTGGACCGGGTTTGAACCAGGAACCTGCTCGCTGAGAGGCAGCAGCTCTACCAGTTGCGCCACCGTGCTGCACAATAAACAACAATAGAATGCAAATAAAGTGAAAATAAAAAGTGGTGTTATAAAACAAAATCAAATCAAGGTGCCGTATAAAACCAGGTAAAATGCTAAAAATCTAAAAACAGGAACATGTTTGCTTTGATTTTTCTATTGAACTTATCAGTTGTTTAATTACCAACCAACTGGCCAACCAACCAGAATCTCCCAAAATCATAAATTGTGCAAAATCTGTTTGATATCAAAATGAGAGTTCAGGCATGTCCAGCTTTCTGTGACCTGTCTGAAGTTTGCATGACATTTCTCCTGTAAGGCTGCCTGAGCTGCAGAGACAGTTGCGTTAAATCACTTAATATATATATATATATATATATATATATATATATATATATATATATATATATATACATACAGTATATAAAATCCTTATTGTCTGTGGAAGAATGTCTTGCAGCTTTTTGTGAGTTTTGTCTACAGCACAGTAAATTAATTGACCTACAGCTGGTTTGTGAAAAGTACATTGAGCTATGCAAGCCATTCTACCATACTTTTATTTACTACAAGAAAGGTTTTGACAGAGTTTGGCAAGACGACCTATGAGCAATCATGAGACAGCTCAGCATTAGTAGAGGCATATTTAACGCCATGGAGGCACTGTACAAAGAGCAAGTTAATGGTCGTAACAACTTCAGCGAGTGTTTTCCAACTATAGTTCGTGTGTGCCAAGAATGCCTACTCTGGCCAACACTGTGTAACATGTTCTTGGAACATACTGTATATCTGAGACACTGATAGAAATAGATTCCCCTGTAAACCTGGAAGGAAGAGAAATCAGCGATTTTCGCTTTGTTGATGATATAAACCTTAAATGATCAAGCCATTCAAGCAAAGAACCTAGACATTATGAGTTGTTGTCATGGCATGGAAATTAGTCTTAAGAGTACCAAGACCTTGGTTTCTTTCTTTTAAACAGGAGCCTCTTAAAGTGAACATCAGGGAGACGGAACTCGAACAAAGTAATTCATGCAGAGGGTGACTCAGTTAAAAAGATCAGGACAAGGATAGTTAAAGCTGCCAGTGTCATCACACAAGAGACACAAGACATAAACTTGTTTGGAAGGACAGATCAGTGTTGATGGCTACCAGAGATAGACTCCTACGTACAGTGCTGCTGACTCTGAACGCTCATCATCCTGGTTTCATTAATTGTTGTTATAGATGCAGAGGGCTGTGAGATTCTTCCACAGCCATCAGCATCTATAACAACTATTAAGGAAACCAGGATGATGAGTACCAACAACATGTAATTTCCCTTTGGGATTAATGAAGTATTTTTGAATTGAATTGAGATAGAGAAAAGAATATGTGCATTTGGAATGACCTGCCACCGCCACCTGCTTCAGGTCTACTCGTCCTCCCACACTACTAATGCTGAAATCCACCAGAGGCCATATCCTCATTGGGGATTATGATTCCTTCCTAATGCAGATTAAGAAGAAGAAGTTGAAGTGATTTGCTCAATAGTGAGGCAGATTACATCTGTAGCTGGACAGGGCTCCCTTTCCGTTGTCCTCAACTCTTGCTGAGGACTAGTCCAGGTGGAGGATGCTGTTAAATGACGTCTGTACTGCCCTCATGGCTCTGGGCTGAGAGGCTGATGATGATGACACAATTTGTTACCAAAACCCTCAACAACATACTGTTCCCTATTGAGCTGCATGTTTTGTATAAATGGCATATATTTATTTGTTGTTGTTTTTTTCCTGATAGCTGGGGAAGCGTGAAATTGGACAAAAATTGTGATAGAAACCAAACAGAATAAATATAAGGGTTCTTCAATGCTTTTGTGTCGGCTCCCATAATTAGTTATTACATAAAATGTCACATTTAACATGTTTTTCAACCATGCACTCTGACACATAGGAGCTACTGTTTATGAACTGAATCTTAATATATTCTCATATCAAAAAGATAAAAAAAATATGCATTAGCACCCACCTTTCCAGACTTTCCCTTCCCTCTCCATCAGTGTTTAAACAGATATATGTGTGGCATATATACCATACCATACCACTTTATTTATAAAGCACTTAAAACAGCAACAAGGCCAACCAAAGTGCTGTACAGACAAAACAACAGGTAACACACAAAGCAAAATACAAAATGAGGTAAATCAGAATATAGACAAAAAACGATGCAGATAATGACGACAAACTAGTGTAGCGCATACAGGATCAAAACACAGATCATCTTGTGTTGAAAGCTATTGAATAGTAGTGAGTTTTTAAACGGGACTTGAAAACCGAGAGGGAGGGGGCCTGTCTGACAAGCAGAGGTAACTCGTTCCAAAGTCTTGGTCCTGCTACAGAGAAGGCCCTGTCACCTCTGCGCTTAAGACGAGTTCCTGGAACTGTGAGGATCAACTGGTCCGCTGACCTCAGGGAGCGTGGTGGGACATACGGTTGTAGCAAATCAGAGAGATGGGGGGGGGACACTGTTCAGTGATTTGTAGACATACATGAGTATTTTGAACTGGATTCAAAAGTGAACCGGTAACCAGTGCATTGAGGCCAAAACTGGTGTAATGTGCTCTCTTTTGCCTGTACTGGTTAAAAATCGGGCTGCTGCATTCTGGACCAGTTGTAGGACCATATGAGAGTAGTGGCTTTGGTTTCAGCTGAAAATGTTGCTTTTGTTCTCCACTTTCTCTAAAATGGTTGAAATCAGACAGTTTGAAACAGGTTCTTAGCATCACATTCGCTTCTTCCAGCATCACAGAATTACAGATCTTTGTATCCACACTTCTGGATATAAATAGCTTGTTGTATCAGCTGCTACACGCTGACGTCTGTGTGGTCATCTCCTCAAACGTGATGGATCTGACATGACGGACTGTGGAGTCTGATAATTGGCCTTTTCGTTCCTCCTCTGCCATGTAGGGCTAGTGAGTTCTATCTGGAGAATTAATTTGTTATCTATCTCCCCACCAACACTGAACACCACGCTTTTGTGGATCAGCTGGAGCTTTTTGAACTCTTGAACCTAATGAAGTGTGAAAAGAAAAAAGTGGGAAATGAACAAACCAGTATCTCATACATTCAGGGCTCTGGGCTATCTGGATTTGGTGCTCACAAACCGAGTTTAGCACTTTTAGCAAACTATATTTTGTAACAGTGGCCTGCAGCAGCCTTTGGGGGAAGAAGCTGTTGGTTTATTCACACTCTTACGCCATGACACCCCACAGTTCCACTAAAACCTCCCACCGCCGGCTGCTGAGTTATTACAGTGAAGCAGCTGCTGGGTCAGCGCTCAGCTTAAGGGCACTTCGGCAGTTGGTGCTGAGGAGGACGGGCTTATTACATGCTTAGATTGCCCAGGTCAGGAGAAGAGCACAAATTAGTGAAGATGTTCACAGTTAAAAACTGACACAGACGAAACCCATACCAATTGTTTTTGAAAGCAGCTTAAGGGGTTTCCTAAAAGGATAAGAAGAAAACCGTAATAATCTGGGGGATTAATTTCAACGGGTTAAGCTGAGCTAAAGCTAA